ATCCAGACCTTCTAGTTCCCCAATTCATACTACAGTGAATGTGCAGAGCACGTTTGCCAGGATGTTGGAGGTCACCATTTTAAAATCTTGGTAACCACAGAGTTTAGTAGAGTTCCTGGCACATGTTCAGTAGTCATTTGTTCAGTGAATACATTTATCTGAGCACACTATCTCATTTCACTGATAAGGGTTTGACAGTCTGCAAGAAAATGTGACTTATTGATCAAGTCACAGAGGTTTTCAGACACAAAGCCAGGACTAGAACCTAATACCCTGGCTCCCCTAACATGTTGCTGCCCAATGGCCACACTATCAGTTCAAGGCATAAAACATAACCTTAAGTCTCTATCCAGGATTTTACAGCTCACTACTCTTCCAGTGCCATATAATGGCTCTTAACTAATGCTGTGTGAACATAGAGTAATTTTGAGGGTGGAGACTCTTAACAATCTTGGCAAAATGCAATGTACTTGCTGATATATCATAAAACTTGATCCACCAAACGCTTATTGATAAGAAACTGGAATTTGGAAAAGGACATCATAAGCCAATAAGTAAATTACCAAGTGAGTTTTTTATCATATATGACTAATTTTCTGAATAAGAAATATGATAACCTCTCAAATATCATTATAAGGATTACCATTAGCATTATTGGTTTCCATTGAAAACGTGTAATTGTAAACTATTCTCAGCTTGACCACTCTGCGATAGTTACTTACGGCATGCAGGTTTATTTTAAGCATGTAAACCTGTTCTCCCATGTTTATACCGTACATTTTAATCCCGAAAATCAAAGAGCTTAAAATTATTATCTACCGTCTTGTTCCTGAGCTGGATATCAGGAATTTACGCTAAAAATTTCTGCTCCCTGCCATCAACGGGATCTTCCAACTCTGAGTTCTGGAATTGTGGATAAAAGCCTTCATCAAGAAAGTGGAAATGGATAGCTCTTTCAGAATGGATGGGTTTTGGATAAGTGTAGGGACTTGTCTCTAAAATCTGCATGGGAGGATGGTCTAAGCGTAGCTCCAGAGGCACAAAGAAAGTTAAATATTTGGTCTTAGATGACAGAATGAAGTGTTTGAACTTTACGCAATGTACAGTAATGAATGCTGTCAGCCATCAAGTTAGGTAGAAATACAATGAAAGTAGGATTTTCACAAGAGCAGTTTCAGTCATGCATGTAATGGAATAGATAGGAGGAGAAATGGAATTCAGAACAGACGTTAGAAGGCTCCTGGAGTAACCCAAGCATAAGATAATGATGGTCTAGTGTGATGGCAGTGAGAATGGAGATAAAGTTCTTATTCTGGAAAATATTGTTAAGGAAAATGTTTTAAAACACATGAAATACTGGCCAAAAGGATTGAAGGGAAGAGCCAAGCAAAAGTTCTGCTGTTTCTGCTTGAGAGACTAGAAGCATAAGAGAACTAACAGAAACCTGAGATCTGAGAAGAGAAAGTAGATTTGGTGAGGAGGTCGTGAGTTCAGCTGACGTGACAGTGAACACCCAGGTGAAGATGCCTTGCAACCAGCTGCAAGCCCGGAACTAATAATCAGGACTAGGGATTTAGATGACTGGTACATGATTTTTTCTGAGACCCATGAAAAGAACTCCTGGAGCTCATTCTCTCCAAAAAAGTCTCCCAAGAATACTCAGGGTGGTTTGACAGATCTCTTTATCCTGTCTTGGACACATGATTTCCTCTCATTATTGGGAGTAAGAAACAATGGGATTCACAACCAAGAATCATCTGAAGGGAGATTTATACTGTTAGTTCTTTATAAGTAATCCTGGGAGAAAGAAGATAGGTGTGCTAAACAGCATAGTAATAGCCTCAATACTAGAACATTATTCCTAGTCTGGTGTTATGTTCATAATTTCTTCCCATTCTCCTCCTCCACATAGCCATATACCTCCCTTTAACATGTACATTATAGAAAGACATCATTATCCATAGATTCAGCCTCTCAACAACAGTCTAGATCAGCATATAGCACCCAGGATACTTAAAACATTCAACAAAATACCTAAGATATACCTTCTATGAAAAAAAAAATGATTATTAAAAGGGCTTCCAGAGTATTTCTCTCTGGCTGAGCTAAAGAAGAGCAGGCCAACAAATGAATCCAAGGTCATAGATTAATTCAGTTGGTTATAACATGTAGAGAAAGGCAAAGGTCATTTACTGAACTACAATCTTGATATCACAGTATTTATTAAAAGATCTTATAATGAAACAGCAAAGAAACATTACTGAGGCAGTAATGACATCTGAAGTTCACCAACAGCCAATAACAAGATGGGGTGTTGTAGAAGAGCGAGCAGACTTAGGATGTATTAGTCTTCTACATGAGCTTCTGAGCAACTAGTTTCCTGGCACACTATGGCAGGAGCCAGTAAATGGGTGTGAATCAACTTTCTGCAAACCTAGTGTGCCAAATACCCTGTTTAAGTACAACACATCTAGACCACAACTTCTCGTTCCTACTGACAGAGCAGCATATTAATGGTCCTCCATCATCAAGCTCCAATCTACCTTACAGTTTTAAACATTATCTTCTCTCTGGCACTCACCCTATATCTTGGCCATATGGGACCATTCAATTTGTCATGTATGTGCCCCACAATTTCCTCTTCTGTCACTTTGTTTACATTATGTCTTCTATTTTGAATTCACTTTGTATTCCTCCCATCTCTGTCAAAATCTTACTTATCTTTAATTCCATACTGTCACCTTCTCTTTGATAATAATCTCTTCTATTTTGTGATCCCCTTAGTATTTCTTTTATATCTTATAAATTTTTGTTTTATGTTCCAGTTATTTATTTACTTATCTCCGCTACTAGAATCTATGACAAGAAAAATATTTAGTTTAATTGAACCTATCACCCAAAATGCTAAACTTTGTGACATTTGGCCCCATACTGAGGTGCTTTCTTTTTCTTTCCCCCTATCTTCTTCTCTCTGTATTTCTAAGTTTTTTATTCTCTCTTTTCTTTGTTTCCCATTATGTGATTCCTTTCAGCCTTAAGTGGCCACTCCTAGCTACTGTGTTTCACATAAAAACCAACCTCCTCTACGTGACTTCCAAGGTCTTGCAAAATTTGAATCCACCTTTTCTCTTCAGCCTCATTTCTTCCTACTCCAAGCAGGCAAGTGTCTTCACTAATCCAGGAGAAGGTTATGTTCATTTCAGTCAGGGTAAGATGCTAGATAAACGGGATTGAATACTACAACAGTCTTGGTAAGGTAAATTGGTCTAACTGGGATTCCTTCCGACCTTAGCGGGCTTGCCATCCAGGCTGCTGCCCTTCTGTGCCATAACACCTGGTCAGGCCACTGCTTTGTCCTTTCCTGGGGATTCTTGATCCTTAACTATTTACCAGTTGGACCTCTCTCTTGCCTTCAACACAGCCTCTGGACTTCCTGACTAGTTTTGTTCTAATACTCTGCTCCAAAATGCAGTTCCTAGACGTTTATTCTTCTCCAAGGTATTTATCTGGCTCTGGTTCCCTTCTGTGCCTTAACTTTCAGCTTCCCCACAACCCTAGTCCATCATATCCTATGGTTGACCTCTCATCTGTCCTCTCTTTGCTGCCTTAGTTCTCTCTGACTCGGCATCTACGCCATTTCAGTCAATACCAAAGGGTCAAGTTGTAACATTTCCCACTTTCCACAGTTCCCATCTCTGTAACTTTGTCCATGCTATGGGCTGAATGTGTCCCCAGAAAAGATATGTTGAAGTGTTATTCCTGAGTACCTCAGAATGTGATCTTATTTGGGAATAGAATTGTTGCAGATATAATTAGTTAAGATGAGATCATACTGGAGTAGAGTGGGCCCTTAATCCAATATGTCCTTATAAAAATGGCAAATTTGGATACACACATATATAGGGACAATGCCATGTGAAGATGGAGGCAGAGATTGGAGTGATGCAGCTATAAGTCAAGGAATGCCAAGGATTGGTGGTGGTCACCAGAAGCTAAGAGAGAGGCATGGAACAGATTCTTCCTCAGAGCCCTCAAAAGGAACCAACCCCGCCAACACTCTGATTTTGGACTTCTGGCTTCCAGAAGTATGAGGGGAAAATAGAAAAAAAAATGCCTTTTGGTATTAGGACCTTTAGACAAACCAAAATAGTAACTCTCAAAAACATCACAGATTATTCCAGCCTATTAACAATAGGATGGCTACAGAGATAAACGTGCAAGTGCTCCATGCCCAAGCATCACGTGCAACAAGCATCCTTTCTATGTCTGATACAAATCTGCTGTTCATGTCAGTGGACTTCACTCAGAAGACTGCAATTTGTTTTCATTCATTCTCAATGTGAAAAGGGATGGTTATGGTGTGTGCAATGTATTTATAATCATAATGTTCAGCAGGACTTCAGCTGACAATCAAGATACACTGCTCTAAAGTAAATACTCAGATGCTTGCACTATCTTTAATCTGGTATTTATTATCTTCTTTCTTCCAAAACATGGCTCTTGAGACTTTGTCCTTATTTTAAATACTGTTTTATGCATGTAGATGACTTTTTATTGAAGATCCTAGATAACCTTTTGGAATTGTGAAAGGAGAAAGAGAGATAGACAGAGAGAAGGCAAGAAACAGAGGCAGTAACAGAGTCAGAGAGAACTAGTGACTAAGCAGTGTTGCCAGATAAAAGACAAATACATTTTTAGTATAAGTAAGTCCCAAGTCTTGCGTGGAATATACTTATGCTAAGAACTTATTCATTGTTTATCTGAAATTGAAATTTAACCGGGCAACCTGTACTTCTATTTGCTGAATCTGTCAATTCAAGGGAATTTTCCAGCTCTTCCTCTCACAAAGCTGCACTGTCACACAAGCATGGATACAGGATTACTTTTCCTGAGCCACCAATAGGTGAAAGGCAAACAGCTCTCTGGGAAAATAGAAAAAAAAAAAAAAACCTATCCAATGGCATAAACTCGTAAATGAAAACAAGATCCATAACTCAAACCTTTGTTGGTGGCTGGTCAGGGATGCAGTTTATCCGTTCCGATTCATCTACCACTGGGCACTCAGAAGAAGCAGGGGTGGTGCTTGTCCCAGGGTCTGCAGTAACTGTCCTCCCATGACCTGGGGTAACTGTCGTCCCAGGACCTGGGGTAACTGTCGCCCCAGGATCTAGAATTATCCCAAAAGCAAACAGAAAATGACTATCAGACAGATTTAATGTCACAGGCATTCAATATCCCCATAGTTCTCAACATTTCCAATTATATGGACTCCATGACTGATTGGGCTTCACTTCACTCCGTGAAGTGTAAGCATTCACTTTATAAAGGCTCATTTTGTTCTTGCTGACTGTATGTATCTTTCTGTCTACCTGAATCATCTGCTTCTACCCCCAAGGCTCTCCCATATGAGATAGTGCATACAAGGGTAAGGAGTTCGACTCCACCATTAGATTGGCAGCTCACCAAGGTGGGGACCAAATCTACCTTCTCTAGTCCAGGGGTCATCAAACTTTGTCCTGTGGGCCAGATCAAGTCACAGTCTGGTTTTTAAACGAAGTATTGCTGGAACACAGCCACATCCAGTTTTTCATGTATTGTCTATAGCAGCTTTCGCACTGTAATGGCAGAATTAAGTAGGTAGGACAGAGACTGTATGGCCCACAAAATCTAAAGTATTAAGTATCTGGCCCTTTACAGAAAAGTCTACAGACTCTGCTTTGGTCATTTACTTCCTCCCCCAGCAGCTGGTTCACAATGTTTACGCACAGAACATGCGCAGAATATGTTGTTATCTTGAATGTTACCACCCTAATCATAATAACCTCAATTCTGCCTGTTCAGTCAACAGGCAATCCCTCAACAAGGAACACTTCTAAGTGACGGCAAGTGTAAAGTCTCATATGACAAAATATAAAAAGAGAGCCCACCAACCTAGAAATTTGCAGTTAGAAACTATCCCAGGACTTTGATTCAGATTTAAAAATCAGTAAAATAAAAAAGGCAGGTTTATTTCATTCTGAAATAAAGAAGTAAGATCTCTTTAAGGCACTCTACAAGAAGTTAATAACAACATTAAGACAAAACAATGAGGCTTTTAATTATTTTCTTTTCATTAGGGTTTCCAATTCAAAGGTGGATTAAAAGAACTCCATATTTGTGCCAGTCTCTGCATAAGGATTTTAGTTCCATCTTCAGGATCATAGAATTTTATGAGTTGAACGACCTTTGAGATTATTTAATGTAACTTCCCACAGAAGGAGAAAGCACATGCCTGGGAATGAGGTAGAGGGGCAAAGGTTTTCCTCTAGCCACATACCGCTCTTCGTTGCCTGCTTCACCTAGGGAGCTGCTCCTAGATGAACCCCAGATAAGAAATCACAGATAACTCAGCACAACACAGCCCTATTTTAGAACAAAACAGTTCAATAAACTTTTATTAAAGTAACTCTGGTAGTTGTCACTCAAAGAACTGAACTTTGGCCTAAAACACTTTAATTTATTATATACTTATTTGACTGCCTTTCATGTAAGGGTATTGTTAATTATTATTGTTGACAGAATTAGGATTATTCAATGAAATTCAGCAAATATATTCCAGTGTCAATTGCGGAATACTTCACTATACTAATTGGGAAATGAAAGTGTCAGAATTTCAGACTACAGTGAGTACCTATGGAGCCGCCACAGTTTTAGTTAGGTGCTCCCCAACACACATACAACCCACACACACACGTGTGTGCACACACACACTCACACCAATGAACACGAAAGCATCACCTTCCTGCCATTTATGTGGTTTTTGCTCTGATAAGACAACATAGGGAGAGAGAACACCAGAGTTCCTCGTTACCTTTTGATTCCAAGGAATCTCTAGCCGAAAGCACAAATAGAGGAATAGTGATGATAAACACCACAAGCAGAAGTACACTGAGCATAAGCTCCAAAGTAGTGAAATTTTTCCACTTCTTTCCTGCCATCTGTAAAAAAAGAGAGAAAAAAAATTAGAGTTGAGTTTTATTTACTATATAGCTAGTAAATTTTTCAATGAAAAATCTCGAATATATACTTAAGTAGAATGAATCACATAACAAACCCCCCGTATAGCCATCATTAGAAGACATATAAAATCTAGCAGATTCTCTCTTTTTTTTAATGTTAACAGCCATTGGTGAGCATTTCTTAGATCTATTATTCCATTAGGAGTGGTGACATAGTGATACTATAATTCTATCATTCTTTATTCATTTAGTGGATGAAACATTCCTATAGAGAGAAATTTCCCCTTATCTGTTATGTGGCTCACAAAGGTGCAGTTCATATAGGAAAGATAGGATAAATGACAGCTATTAAATCAGGGACCACTGGGATTGTCAGTGTTCCCAGGACTCTGTGCAGACTTCCTTAGTCTCTGACCAGGAAGGCACAGACCACATTTAAGGTTTTTTCCTGGCACTGAGTTAACCACCATGCACATACTCAAATGAGGATTATGCCTCACATGCAGTCCTTTCTGGAAATCTTCCTCAGTGCACCTGTTTTAGGACTTTGTCCTTTTCTAGGGACAATTCTGATACTGACTGAGTTGTGACACTATCCTCCATCGGTAGCAGGTAACACAAATTCCCCATCACTTGCTCCACATCCTTCCCCTGGTTGCCCCAGATATCACAGCATTTAGCACCTCCTTCCTCTGACTCCACTTCTGTCATTCTTTAGAAAGCTCGTCCTTTGCAGTCAACATTCTGTATTCTCTCTCAAACATTAAACAAAATATATCCATTAGTCACTTGTGCCTAATTCCAACAGCATTTTTTATAGATAACGTTTACTGTCTTTGAAAGGGAAAGTTTGACGTTTCATGCCTTTGGCTTAGCTAAATTCTGAGAATGCCTGGGATACCCTGTCTGTTAACCTAGGATAGCAACATCCTATGCTGATTGCATTTTATATGCACAACAACACTGAGATATAAGAATGGCCAGGCTAATTTTTCCATTGGACAGATGAAAGGACTAAGGTGTTGTGTGCTTTAATGACACGCGCCCAAAGCTCAGGACAAGTCAATGGGAAAATTAGGGGTCCTGACTTCCACTTTAGGGATTCTCCTCATGACCTCACTTTCTGTTAGGTAAGGGCACACTCTGTCTTTCATGTTTTCTGTGAGAATGTATCTCTATGGACACAATATAGCACTTCTCCAAAAGCATGAGAAACTACGTAGACCCATACTATAATGCAGAAATCTGCCACTCAATAGGGAGTGAAGCCTACAGCAAGTCAAAATCAATTCAAAAGCCAGAATGGAGGGAGAAATTTCTCATAAAGCTATATAAAATCTTATATAGAAGAAGTAAAATAAATTCATTGTCAAGTTGGGTCATGTGATGGAATGATTTCTAAAATGAGTTTCATGATCTAACTAGCTTCTTGTATCTCCTTAAGTTATAGGAGATTGTACATTAGAGTATCTAGAATCAGACATAAGAAAAGTGTAAAGTAAAAGGAGAGAGAAGACAGCAGAAGGAGCAGAATTATCTACGTGAATGGGGCCACTGGTTTTGAGGCCTCACAAGCTTGTAATGGCTTCCATTGCTTATGAGACTAAATGGCGTCATCTACAATCTAACTCTTAAGAATCGTTGTAGCTAAGTTTTTGGGCTTCTATGTGCCATGTATTTCCCAGACATTATCAGTCATCCTCATAAACCTGAAATGCAGGTATTATTCATCTCCATTTTACAAGGTAGGAAACAGAGGTCAGAAATGTGTAAAACTTGTCAGCAACCCCAGAGAAATGATGGAGCTGAAATTTGCTCCTAGTCTATGCTTCAAAGACACTTATTTTCATGACTACATCAAAGCACACACCCTCCTCCAGCCCCATCTTCTCCACTTATCAGAATGTGTTCCTCCAGTTCAAACAATATCTCCTCCAGGGTTTAAAATTAATAGCCCTCCCTTGCTCTCTTGCTCCCAAGCACTCTATCTTATCTATATTTATAACTCTAAGGAGAATCTGTCTTTCCCTACTAACTTTTAAGCTACCAGAGGCCAAGGAGTGAGAGTATCTTACCCCTCCCTGAGTTATCCTTCTCAGCCTGAGAGCCTGCAATACTGATTCCCTCCACTCTGTGGGCAGCTGAGTGGGGCCAGGCAGAGAATCCAGGGCCAGTCTTCTGCTGAGAGTTGTCTCCTCTGGAAATCCAGATCTCTTCCATTTAGCCTAGACATGCCAACGTGATTTTCTTTGTGCTCTATGATGTGAAAAATGTTGGGAAGAGCTCCACAATGCTTCCCTGGATGCTACCTGGCAGGTGCTATACATGAGTATTTGTTGATTTGGGAGCAAGATTGAGTAGAACATAAGCACAAGATCCTTTGTGTCATATGTGCACTGCAGTGTCCTCATTCCTCTTTCCCAAAAGAAAAGGGGAGGATGAAATGGGAAATAGCGTGCCTTCATCCCAGGAACCTCACCAGTAACCATAGGAGTACAAGTGAAAAAGGAAGAAAAAAGAAAATTTGGATTTAAAAAATAACATAAATTAGACAGCATTTTTTTATTTTATTTATTTTAGAAGAGGATTGACTTCAAAGTTTTTTTTTCCCCCGAGCTAACATCTGTGCCAATCTTCCTCTATTTTATATGTGGGTTGCCACCACAGCATGGTTGATGAGTGGTGTAGGTCTGCGCCCGGGAACCCACGAACCCGAGCCGCCAAAGCAGAGTGCATCAAACTTAACTGCTAGACCATGGGGCCGGCCCCCAAGGTTTCTTTAAATCAGTAATTTTCAAAATATGACGGAGAGGTACATCAATATCTCTGGAGAGGCTTTTTCAGAACATATAGCCCCCTCCTTCTCCGTATGACCTTGGCAAATATTGCTCATAAGTGTAATAGCCTTTATATGAGTTGTAACATAAAAAGAAATAGTTGAAAACCATCTTTTTATAAATAGAATATACACTAGTAAATGCACTTCCTGGAAAACAATACTCTTCACAGCCCCTTTACAAGCCCAACCACAGCTGAACACTGGCCCACATCCCTCTCCGGCTCTCTGTACTCTCCACTCCTAGCTCAGGGCCTGGTGGTCTCTCTGGGCAGGACTGCCCCCAATTCCACTACAGACCTCCTCACCCAAGCTAATTATGAGCTGAAGTCACCTCTGCTCTGATATACCCAACACAGTGGACCTGTCTGCTTTTCTTCTTCCATATTGTTACAGAGTCATTTTATTTGGTACATCTTTACTAGAATGTCAGTGGAAGTTTGGAAAGGAAAAAGGGTAAAATCCTGTGATCAGTCTGCCAACTTGAACCCTTCTATATAGGTTTTAAAAGTTCCCCAGATGACTTTGATATTCTCTGCTGTTTGAATTCACTTTGGGAATTTTGAGTTCATTGGTGGATTTAACAATACTGTACAACATTATCCTATGGGGGGGCAGGTATAAATTGATGACAGTGAAATGAGGGACAAAAATGAAGTAGGAGATGGTAATAAGGAAAAATAAAACAGCATATTTGGAGAAAGTGGTGGGGGATGGGTGGCCCTTGTGAAAGTTTTCAACCCATCAAAACACCCCTCCCAACACCTCCAGTATATCAAGCGCCTTTTCTAATCCCAGCTCATTTATAACCAAGGATGTTTTCCTAAGGCTTTTTCCCTGAACATATGTCTACTGCCTTAGGTTTACAATGCTCTTTTTCTCCCTCAAATTGTGAGCTCCCAGGCTATGAGAATTACGCTTGCTTCTTCATCTTCAATGTCCGAAGTACCTACTAGCAGAATCTGCATAATCAATACTTATTGACCAATAAGTATTGACCAATAAGTAACATTTTACTTCCTGATTGAATATTTACAAAATACCCAAATTCTTCCTAATTATCGTAGACCATAAAGATATTTCGGAGGATAAAATGATGGCACCTGCCTTAAGCGAGCTTCAAGTCCAATACTGTTATTTCTTTCTACATAATAAAAGCCATGTATGGTAGAAAGAGTATTCTTTCTTGAGAATCAGAAGACCTGAATTTTATTCCTCATTCTGAAAACAACAAGCCAGATGACCTTGGGAAATTTACGTATGTCTTCCGATTCTCAGTTTCCTCATTTACAAATTAAAGAAGTTGAACCAGAACATCTATAAAATTCATACCCGCTTTTAATATGTCATTTTTGAGTGAGTCACGCAAATTGCTTGCTTCTTTACTCCTCTCTTTCACAAAAGATGCCTGTGCTAAATATTTCATTAGTTTTCTCATTCTCTGTCGTGTCCCCAAGTTCTCCTGCTAAGAACAAGAGCAAGCTAAATAGAGCACAAGAAGACTTAAACTGGATTTCCAGTCCTAACATTTTTTGCTGTGGTAGCCAAATAAATTTACTTCACATTCTTGAGTCTCAATTTTCTAACCTGTAAAGATGGAACTAATAATGTCTATTGTTATTATTACCTATTGTCACCTTCTTCCTGTGAGACTCAAATAAAAACACTTTAAATAATAAAAGATAACACATCATTACGTTATCATTTACCATAGAGAAGATAGTTTGTGGGTCCTGGGTAAGAAACAGCACGTTCCTAAGAAATCCTTCAATCTCACTTTTCATGAGTGTGGCTGCACCTCACTCAGCGTTGTGAAGTGGCAGATGCACATTCCTGGCCACTGCCCTTATGAATGTGTTCTGATACAACCTCTTATCCGCTAAGTGCTCTATGGCCCCTGTGTCAGGTGACTCACTTGTTATCTGAGACACAAAGTGTAGAAAACGGCAAAGAAACAGGAGAAGTCCTGAGCAGCAGACTTGCCCATTTAAGGCCCACTTTCTCCACCAACCCACCCACTGCTCCACTCCCAGGCTGCCTTGTGAATCACACTACCTTTACTCAAAAAGCGCATCCCCTCACTTCTTCCCTCAGGCCTTAATTCAAAACTCCCCAGCTTGGGAATCTTAAATCCTCAGCTCAT